ATGAAAAAAGTAGCATCATATCATTGACCCTTAAATAGTATTTTATTGGTTTATTAAATTTTCCCCTACCATTTTATTGATTTAAACTTATTAGCATTCTTCTTGTTTGACGTGAGTTCTCCTGAATGTTCACGGTTCACTGAAGCAGTTCTCTACAGTTCTCTTTTTGTTCTGTCTGTGTCGTTGTACCCACGTAAGCTGATCCGTGTGACAGGTTAGCCGGGGCTCTCTCCTGCCAGTAAACATACACATGCACACACTATCTGTGTAATATGAGCTTCGACTGCTTTGTTTTGAAGCGGCGGGTAGAACCTAAGAGGCCTCTGTGTCGTTTTAACCATAGTAGAGGAACAAAGCTAATGCTGTTAATTGTAGGACTTTTCCTGTCACACTCCATCTGATGTGCTTTTACCTCTTATCATTTATTTTTGAGTTTATATTGCGATTAAAATCTTCAGCAGAGTGAAATGTTCAGTCTGAGACTGTTGAGCTTTCCAAACTTAGTATGGGAGATATGATGCTTGGATGATACTTCACTGGGAAATTTAGGTCACATCACACAATTAGGTCTGTCATGCTGATCAGATGTTGAGTGTCATGTTGTGTGTGCGTTTGGTTTGGCATGGCGGGGCTGTTGCCTCTTGTGTTGCCGTGCAGTGGGGTGATATCCAGAGGGCCAGAGCTTGGCTCTCTAACAAAGAGAACCCTGTGGATGGAAAAACAGCTGAGAGGGGGTGAGAGAGGGTAAAGTACAGCATTGTTAATCCCCTCCACACCTGATGGTAAAAAATAAACAACAACACAGATTGAGATTCCTGGCAGTCTGGCGGTTTAATGACAGAAGTCTGTGATCTTTTCCTCAGGGTTAATTTCCTAATCTTGTTTAAGACAGAGTGGTCTGTTGGAGTTTAAGGGCATGTCTAAGCAAACAGTTGGAACTACTTCTTGTAACATATTAGCTGTATTTAGGTCTTATATTGTATATCTACTAGTTGTACTACTAGGGCTGTGCACAAGTATCCAACTAATTAAGTACTCATTCTGCACCATCTGATTGATAAAGTTACTAGTCTAAAACACTATTCAAATATTTTTTGTATTAATATTGTATTAATAACTAAGGTAACACTTTAGTTTAGGGACCAGTTCTCACTATTAACTAGTAGTTTATTAGCATGCATATCACTAGCATATTGGCTGTTTATTAGTACTTATAAAGCACATATTAATGCCTTATTCTTCATGACCATATTTTAGATCCCTTAATCTTACCCCATACCTGAACCTAACAACTACCTTACTAATTATTAATAAGCTGCAAATTAGGAGTTTATTGAGGTAAAAGTTACCAGCTAGTAAATAGTGAGAATTGGAACTTAAATTAAAGTGTTATCATAATGAATATTAATAATAACTTTCAGGTCGACCATTATACCATACAGTATTATTTATCCAGTTTCATTCCATCTTTTTGTGAAGGGATGTTTTTCCCCTCAATCTGATGAATTTATTATTTCATTCTTATTATGCTTTTCATTTTCACATAATGTTGCCCTCTTTTATTTTGTTTCCACTGTGCTTTACAGCCACCCATTTGATAGATTCATGTAGGCTAGTTTTCAAAGAGTTGAACTGCTGCCCCCTTCACTTTGTCACAATCCGTGACATTTTGAACTCGGCTTTTTATGCAAAACCAGCATTTCCATTTTCTCTCTGTTTTAAATGGAAAAAACATGCATAATCAAGCTGTAATTGTCAGTTACCTCTTTTAGCATGAGTGCTTCGCAGGCTTTTGGGTGGTGTTAAATTAAAGTCTGTATATAGAGGGTTTAGCCAGTATCTCCAAGCAGAGTTTTGCCAGAGTGAGCCTGTCTGACCCCACAGTGTCCACTGAATGTGGCTGGATCAATAGGACCAGGTGTCACAAAAACACCTGCAATGACTTTTGTAGGACTGAAACATCTCACAGTGCTTTTCCTGCAGTTAGTCAGTGTTAATTTGGTACTGTTCTCATGTAATAATATTACATAACAGAATGATTATTCCAGAAAGACCAGTCTGATGAACTATTCATAGGCTGTGGACATGTTGTAAGTTCAGTCTAAACTCCATCCAGTAGATTTGTTTGATACAAGTGGAGATAGTATGAGGACCACTCTGATAAAAAAGAGTGGGAGAAATTGCAATGGTCATTACGGCTGCTGTAAAAATGGAAGTCTTGCCTTTAAGTTAAAAGGGCCTTTTATTTCCTTTTTGATTTACATTCATGCATTTAGCTGACTCTTTTATCCAAAACTATGTCAAGATGGTGGTCAACAGAACTGACTTGACTCAGTGGAACGTAGCAAAATTGGTCAGGAGAATCATTCAATAAGTGACTTTTTCATTAGTCATGTGACTCTCTGAATGTGTTGTAGTACATGCAACTTAAATCAAATGGTTCTCCTCTATCCTTTCAGGCATGGAAGAAGCGATGGTTTGTTCTGCGCAGTGGGAGGCTGTCAGGAGACCCAGACGTGCTGGAGTATTACAAGAATGACCATGCCAAGAAGCCCATCCGCGTGATCGATCTAAACCTGTGCGAGCAGGTGGACGCCGGTCTCACATTCAACAAGAAGGACCTGGAGCACAGCTTCATCTTTGACATCAAGACTATCGACCGGATCTTTTACCTGGTGGCAGACACTGAAGAGGAGATGAACAAGTGGGTGCGCTGCATCTGTGATATCTGTGGCTTCAACCCCACCGATTCGGAAGGTAAATCATGCCACATGCAAACACACGAAAGCATTTCTTTAGTACTTTTGAGGTTGCATCTGTGATATCTGTGGCTTCAACCCCACCGATTCGGAAGGTAAATCTTGCCACATGCAAACACACGAAAGCATTTCTTTAGTACTTTTGAGGAAGATATTTGATGGGAAAGAAATCCAATTTCATTTCCAAATAATGAGATAATAAATGTTTTCAAGAGATGTCTTTTATTGACAAATCTATGCTTGGATTCTTGCACTCCCGGGCCTTGCAGACATGATGGTCATTCTCTGTAATCCAGATACGAGATTGGAGTGCGAAAGCCCAAAGTGTCCCCTTAAGGTTGACTAATTGTGGCACCTCAGGGTCTCCATCAGCTCAGTTGTATTGATCTCAGATGCTGTCAGCTCACTGTGGCCTTCTTTAAAAGTGATGTGAAGTCCTGAAGCTTGTGAATACTGTTGTGGTAAATGATGCTCATGTTGGTTGTTAATGAGGAAGCGTATGTTTGAGCTACAGCTTAGGAAAATGTTTGTGGTTATACATCTGGCCTTCACCGTTTTGTGAACTTTTGCTACTGTATAGTAGGCTTGCTGTGATAGACAGTGTTTTCGGTTATACCGATGTTAAGCCGCAACACCGGTTACATCATTTGCCTACCGCAGCACTGCTTCCCACCGTCGTTTTGATTTATTTATAGTAACAAAAATAATTTAGCCTAATTCAGTTAGAGGACAGACACTTGTAAAAACTAAAGCTCAATGCAGCATGCCGAACCGTGCGTGAACGACAGTGCACCACGGAGCAGGAGTCAGATTTTATTTATCACGTGAGGAGAGTTTCGAGCTGACTGACAAGAGTGAGGTGAGAAAGACAAGACGATGGCAGAAGATTGTTTAGAAAGGAAATGCAAAGGCGCCTGTTTGGCAATATTTTAGATTTTGAAAAGCCTATTGACTGGAAGTTTATTTAAACATTTGTTTCTTATTTATTTGGTTCCACAGTGTTTGCTGATTACTTTATTTAAACTTTGCGTATTTTATTTATGTTATTTTATATTAAGGTGTAATACAAAGACATACATACACATTTATATACAACCGTACATTATTTTCAATTTTTCACATTAACTCTGCACACCACCAACCTTTCCAAATAAAAATTCAAATCTTGATTATGGTTTGAATATAGTTTGTAGAATGCTAAAGGAGCCTTATAACACATTTTATCTGTCCAGAGATAATTAGTGGTCCTAAACTAACAAAGTAAGTGCCACATTTCAGGGTCTGATAAAAATGTATTCATTTTTAAAATTCTAAAAGCAGACATTTTCGCATTCTAAACAGGTCCGTATCAGGCCGTGCCTCCAAGCTTTCTAATTTGAAAGTGAAAGTAAAATGCGCACTGCGCTTTTTCAAGCTATTTGAAAGCCAAGAAATCCGAGGAAAAGAGGGAAAACTCAAACGAACAATTGATTGACGCTGAATTGCGGCAATTCAATTGCGCTAATTTGAAAGTGAAAGTAAAATGCGCACAGCACTTTTACAAGCCATTTGAAAGCGAAGAAAAGAGGGAAACTCAAACGAACTAACACCCCGACCCCAACGGTGATACCGGTATTACCGGTGTGGTCACACGTCGATTAACCGGTGGGAAAATTTCCTCACCGTCATAACCCTACTGTATAGGATAGACACAGTCGAGAAGAGACCAGAAATAACCTCTTAACTTCACAGCTGATTAGCCAGAAAGTTAAGCCTTCTGGAAAAACATCACGTAACGATTAATATTCATAATCAAAGCGTCTGCGGTAATTGGCCAAAGTTATAGGACCCCCAAGCTTTTTAAATTTCAACTTTGTTCCAGTTTCAGTAAAGTGTATTTAGTAGCATATTCATAGTTTCTAGAATGAAGTCTGATATGAGTATTGTTGCTGAATTTGGTATTGTGACACAACTCTATATTTTTCTACTTTAATGTTAAATGTTTCTGTATTTGAAAATGTGGGACACATTCTCTTTCGCTTTTTTGGCTGTATTGATAATGCGTCATATCAAGAAAAGGACCAAACAGTTAGTTTCAAACTGTTCATTTTGTCTATTACGAATACACATAGAAGCCTGTCATTATTAGCCACCGATACTAAACAGGGTACTGAGAATGCAAATATGTAGGGGGATTTTCCAGGGCTTGGATGATTCAGCAGCAAGCCTGACAAACAAGAGCGGGGAGGGGAGAAGCGTCATATGAAGAAAAGGACCAAACAGTTAGTTTCAAACTGTTCATTTTGTCTATTACGAATACACATAGAAGAAGCCTGTCATTATTAGCCACCGATACTAAACAGGGTACTGAGAATGCAAATATGTAGGGGGATTTTCCAGGGCTTGGATGATTCAGCAGCAAGCCTGACAAACAAGAGCGGGGAGGGGAGAAGAATGAGGGAAGGAGGAAAAGTGAAGAGACCGAAAGAGACATAGTGGCCCTGACTGCCTTGAGCTGCCTGCACTTAGAGAGAGTCAAATGCACCAAGCGAATGAGTGGGTGTGTGTGGGTGTCAATGTGTGTGCGCACAAGTGATGTGTTTGTGTGCGTTTTACTGAATAACTGAAAGCAGAGTTTGAAGAGAGACTTAAAACAAAAACACGCACAACCACCCCGTTAGCCGCACTCCACTGACCTTGAGAGTAGGCTGCTCAAAGAGAGATGGAAATAAAAATAAAAAAGTCAGAGATAAAGAAAAGCTCTTTTAAAAGAACATAGACAAAAAGCTTTACAAGATATCCTAGTTGCCACATAAAAACCGAGACTCCGTCATGGATTAGTGGCACTTTCATTAGCGTCTTGTGTTCAGGGTTCCTCTCTGCACAGTTCTGCACTTTCACACGTGTAGGATGGCGGCCTTAACCTTGATCAGTCCCTTTACAAAAACAAGCATTTAATTCTCCCTCAAAGTAACATGGTCATCTCTGTTCTCCATTTGAATCTCATCTTCAGTCAATCTATCATTTTCAGTCAGTTTATTGTAAAATGTGACCATACAATACAAACTTAAAGACCCAATGAAATTGCAAGGGGAGTTTTGTATTTTTTTAGCCCATATCTATTAGCTTTAAAGCTAATCTATGTTAGTGTACTCCTAAAAATTGGCCTTGAGTTAGATGCACACAATCTTGCCGAAATGACTTGAATACACCCTTCAACATGTTGCACATAAACATTTAGGTTTCAGTAGGAAGTACGTCAACATAGGAAGGAAATTTCATGGGGTCTTTGAACTTTTGGTTGGAGACAGTATCTAACCTGCTGTCGCCAACTTTTAGCCTTAAAAACAATGGAAAAACATGTTTATAATAATGCACTTACATTGGAGGTGTGTTTGGAAAATGTACATAATTGCAATGAGACCAATTAAATCAGTTAAATCGAGCAGGTCATAGAACTAAAAGCTAGTTATCAATTAATGGCATATAAAATAGAATTAATGGTATATATACAGTGGGTACGGAAAGTATTCAGACCCCCTTACATTTTTCACTCTTTGTTATATTGCAGCCATTTGCTAAAATCATTTAAGTTAATTTTTTTTCCTCATTAATGTACACACAGCACCCCATATTGACAGAAAAACACAGAATTGTTGACATTTTTGCAGATTTATTAAAAATATTTTGTTGTTACTGGTTTTTTTTTTTTTTAAATCAACTGTTATATAAACCATCCACTCCTACAAAGACACTTTAGGACATGCAGGTGCTGTGGGTGAAGACCTGCATATATGGGTCTCATTGTATGTATTTGTGTGTGTGGTGTAGTCCAGTGGCTCCTCTTGCTCTAGGAGAGGAGCAGGAATACCTGATTTTGGAGGAGTGTGAGAGCAGGAGCGCTCCTCCTGACTGTCAGTGAGTGAAGAGCATCAGTGTGAAGAAAACAATACTAAACAGCACACACACATATGGCCGACAGCCAAATACTACTTCTTTACCTGAAAATCTGCACACTTATTATAATAACTTACTAAAATATGTATTCAACTTAAATTCTAAATGGGTTGGTATGTTTTCTTGCCTTCAGTGCTTAAAAGAGTGTGTATCCATAGTTTGAACCAGGACTTGTGTGAAATATGACATGCATGGTTGTGTTTGGCACTAACCTTGCCAGTTCTAGTTGTATAGCAAGAAGCTTATTACACAGCTTTCTGGAATACTTGACAACATTTGGTTAATCGCTGCCTTCTGTGATCAAATGTTGTGTAATGATCGTTAAACTATATTTGACCGTTGTCCCTGGCAACGGAATGCGGAAAGTATGCCAGGGCCTTTAGAGAGTGGTATATAGACAATTATTATTTCCCTTACCTCTCCAAAAAAAAAGGAAGAAACTTTCACTACTAAGCAAGGCTTCACTACTCAGCATTTTCTCCATTGTTAAATCTTTCCAATGCTATAGCAATGTTTACGCTCATTTTTTTTTCTTTGTCGATCTTTCTGGCTTCACACCTTTTCTTCTTTTCTCCCGTCCAGTTTTATAGAAAACTAATGATGACAGATGGCTCTTCACAAAAGCACAATTTATTTCTTAATGTGAAAAACTTTTTAACTTTGCACCAAACTACTGAATGCATCTTTAATTGCCAAGTTTCTGTGTAATAAGCGGGATAATATAGTTGGCTGGTCAATATTGCAAATTAAACCACTTCAGGATTCAATTATTATGCAGTAATGACTATAACTACCAACTGACTATACATTATCTTTTACATGCCAGTTAATTAAAATACAAAGACTAATTCATATTGTGATTTTCATAATGACAAAACTTATTTGCAGGCAGCATGATTTCACAAATAGCGTGGTATGTGTTTGAAAGGGTGTTTTCGTCTTTGTATTGATGAGGAGCAAGTTTGTTTTAATATATGTTTGGCGTTTGTTTAAATTACTTAACTGACAATCTTTATCTCATACATGGGCTTCTTTACAGGGCCCATGGCGAATGCTCCAAGTCTACCTCCTCCGAACCCGACTGTAATGACAACCTCCCTTCCCACCACACTCCCACCTCCTCCTCCTTCAAGCACACCTCGGTCAATGGTTTCTTTCCTACCCAGCATGGTGCTGTCTATGATTCTCCTCCTTCACGCGGGCAGTCATTGTCGGCCGACTCACAGGGCCTGTACCACTTACCCCGAAGTTACTCTCAGGACACTGTGCTGCTGCCGAAGTCGGCATCCTCCCCTCTGGCTCCTGACGGTGAGCCCGGTGAACTCTATGTCTTTAACACACCTGGTCGTAAACCCTCTTTAGAGGCCCAGTTGCGGAACTTGTCAGTTAGCTATGATATTCCACCAACACCTGGAAGTAACTGCACCTACCAGGTTCCCCGTACAGCTGGGATAGAGGCTGTTTCCGGGGCCACAGACGTGGTACCGCCCCCTCGTCCACCTAAGCCTTTACTGACCACTGGATCAGTCCCACCTGAGCGCTCACCCACGGACACATATGTGGTGCCACGGTCGGTGTCTGAGACTGACGGAAATTACTGCGTGCCATCTAGTGCAGGAGGGAACAAAGCACTAAGGAGCAACACCATTAGTACAGTGGATTCTTCACGTATGCGTAAAGGTAGGAGGATATCAATTATCTCACCTGTGCTATTTCACCATCATTATGAAAGCAACAGTTCAGTAACAATACAACCTCAAAATCTCAAGTAGTTTAAGTAGCCTAATGGTTTAGAATCTGAACTTCAGCGTTTGCACTGCCTTTATTGTGCCCTTGGAAAGGATGGTCTTCAATACAGTTAACATAACACATATATATATATATATATATATATATATATCCTTTATGTATATATATATTAGGGCTGTCAATCGATTACAAATTTTAATGTAATTAATTACATGATGTGGCGATTAATTAATCTAATTAATCACTTATTAATTGCACATCAAATTTGACAGAGTAATTACGCACAAAAGATCATTTAAAGCCATTGTTGTGTTCGTTTTTTTATTAATAGACTAAAGCTGCCAGTAGGTGTCAGTAAATGTCTTTAAATGAATGAGTAAGTCATTGAGTCATTCATTTGTTTTTGTAATTTAGTATTTTTATTTATTTATTATTATTATTATTATTATTTTTGCCAGTTTGCCAGAATGCTTGAAATCTATGATTAAAAAGCACAAAAATGTAACCCACTGTTATTTTTTTTTGTTGTTTGTTTGTTTGTTTTTTACCATTCATGAGCAGGTACAGTATGAATACTGATGTTTGTACTGTGGACATCTTTATTTTGAGTCTAAATCCTGATTTTATTGACTTTTTCTTATTTTCTGGCAAATCATTCACTCGGGATATTTTAATTGGAGGCTATCAAGCTGTTTGTGCTGCAGCAATGGGGTCATGTAGTCATCAGTGGGTCCCTCTAGTGTTGTTTGGTGGAATTGTGGTATTGAGATGTTTACATACACTCCCTTCTTCACATATGCCTCCATAATAATGCACAGCTATCTATCTATCTATCTATCTCTCTCTCTCTCTCTATATATATATATATATATATATATATATAAAATAAATTAATGCACTTATACAGCAAGGATGGAATAAATTGGTAAAAAAAATGACAGAATAGATGTATATTATGCAAGGATGCATTAAATTGATGAAAAGTGAAAGTATAGATATGCAGATTACAAAAGATTTTTATTTTAAATAAATGCTGTTCTTTTGAACCTTCTCATGACAGTCATTTGACACTCAAGACTGGAGTAATGGCTGCTGAAAATTCAGCATTGCAAACACAGGAATAAATTACATTTTAAAATGTATTAAAATAGAAATCAGTTATTTTAAATATTATTAAACATTTCACAATATTACTGTTTTACTATATTTTTAATAAAGATAAATGCAGCCTTGGTGAGCATAAGAGGTGGTTCTGTGACTTTTTTTTTTTTTCCTTTTGACTGCATTCATTTATTTTGTATTTGTTTCACAGATTACGGATCTCAAGACTGCTATGATATACCCCGTCCCTTCCCCCCAGATAAAAGTTGCTCATTTGATTTTAACGAAAGCTTCAACAACTATTTTGTAAGTTTTCATAATAATAATAATCTTTATCTATTTTAAAACTTGGTCCTGTCTTTCAAGTGTATCCCTAACAGTTTCTTCTCTGCTCTTGGATGCATGTAGAAGAATAAAGGCATGGTGCCAGTAGGAGGTGTTTCCACTGAGGAGATGGATGAGAACTATGTGCCCATGAGCGTCCACTCTTCCTCACATCAGCGCTCCAGCAGCCTATCAGAACCCATCCAGGAGCCCAACTATGTGCCCATGACACCGGGCACAGTGGAGTTCTCCTCCCTCGGAAAACAGGTGCCTCCTCCAGCTCACATGGGCTTCCGCTCCAGCCCCAAGACCCCACCACGTAGACCGGTGCACATGCCCGAATGCCAACCGCCACCCGTAGACCGCAACCTCAAACCTGACCGTAAAGGTGAGCCCTGAGGTTTGTTTCTTTTGTGGTGTATGTGTGTGTGATATAAGTGAGGAGGAGTTGTGTTAATGTGTACAGTGCTTGCATCTCTTTGGCATAGCAACTCTCATTACCACCTTTCTCACTAACAGGTGCCGGCCCATGCTTATAAAAAGAGGTTTAATTTCAACTTTTGATCAGTTCTCAGGCTGCTCATTGCCTTGCATTACACATCTGCTGTTTCAATGACCTTTGCGTTTTAATTGTTACCATGTGACCTCACAAATAAAAGAAGCTATTGTCTACAGACTCTAAACCCTGGGTATGAGGGAGCCTGTCTGCGCCGTTAGCCTGGAGCGGTCACCTCTGTCCCCATTGTGCCTTAGTGAAAGATCTCTTTGATGGCGCAGACCTGCGAGGGGAATTTCAATCTGGTCTGAGAGAAAAAGGGGACATGCTGAAAGTTGCACAAGCGGGCCGAAACATCAGCAGCCAGCTGGGACAGCACTATTGATCTAAACATTAATGGCAGCAGCTCTCTGCGCTCATCCGAAACCATTGTGTATCTTCAATTACGTGTTACTGTTTCCGAGTACCGGCTAATGCAAGAGACAGCAAGTTACATGCAGAGGAGATGCACCACTTGGCCATAACTATGTGAAAACACTGTGTAATTAACAGGTTTGGAGATTTCAGTGACACCCATGACTAGCAAGTGCATGAAATCAAGCAGCAATGACTCTTAGACAAATATTTTTAGTAGAAAAATTGAGTTATGAGATATTGCATCCAAAAGCTGGATGGAAACACCAAGGTGCAAATTAAATTTCCTATATATATATAT